TCAAAAATGAGTTGGTCAGTTTGTGTTGTCATATATACAGTGGTCTATGAAATGAATGTCATAACTGTTTTTATTCAAATTCTCAAAATTTCTAATGGTTGTTATGCTAGTTAAACGCATTGGTATCTGTTGTGACTCAGTTGTCTAGTATATCAGGCCTTAGCATTTAAAACAATGATTACTGAGTACAAGTTCAAGTGTAAACATCTAGCTGACAAATGAAAACAAGATAACACTCATATCCTCTATCCCGCTATTATTTATTGATTGAAAATGTTTATCTTTCTGAACATACAACAAATTAACTTTTTGGCGATATTACATTCTTTACTATTTTTTTTAAAAAGCTAGTCTATATTAATCAAACACTTTTCCATCCAAACCCATTAAAATTTATTTGACACTATTTGAAAGTGTTTAATACTGGAGTATTTGTAAAATAATCTGTCATTACAATTGCTTTTATGTGATCATAAGAACGAGGATCACTTCGTATATTACATATGCCAAAAAGTGAATGTGTTTTGTTTCATGATTATCGCGTGACTAGATTTTTAGATTTTACTGATGATCATGAAACAGTGTATTAGAAATCCTACACACATATAACTTATGGCATTCTATTTTAAATATTACGTACTGTCAGTTACAAATTAACCTTCATATAACGAATATCTTTCATTTAATCTTTACATGAGCGTTGCTTTGAACCATCAGTGGAAAATGGGTTTTCTATAGTCACCAACTAAACCTTGGGGACAAGTTGAGCAATGATAAATCCCTGTCTCAAGACCATTTTTAAAACATTTCAAATCAAGTAATAAGTTTACGTGTTTCAAATTATTTGCCATGAGTACACGCGTGACCAATTTTTAGTCATTTCTACATTTCGGATTTTTCATAACCTTATACGTATTTATATTTGACAACACGACTGTTCGCATTCACTGTAGAGTTATCTGAAACTACGACAAAGCAATTGTTAAATCCTGACTGATTTAAAACAGTTGACTAGTTTATGTAAAACCATGGTGAAAAATTGTCTCTGAATCAAACTTATCTGTAGAAATCATGTAAATATTTTCCGGGAATCTTTTAAATATAAATTCACAACGACAGTTACTCTTTGCACTTTCATTTTAGTCAGTAACTACGAAATGTGCCCACCACAAATGGCACATGAAAAGTGCATAAGTAATACATGTTCTACGAAACGGTTTGAATGAAATGTAGCATTCGCTTGTAATTATCGGTCTGTTATTTTAATAAAAAACGTTGTTTGGATTTAGTAGAAAAAATGACTACTGAACTCACCAATTATTTTTAGTAATTAACTCGGGTGTTGCATAAGTAATGCTATACCCACTTCTATTGTAAGTGGTCGCTGGTCAGTTTATTTTACCCTCAACTTTCTATAACACTCAAAACAATTGTTGGTAACATCACTCACTTCGCCAGAGTTTGACAGGCATATATTTTTATATGACTAGACTAGAGTAAGCAATAGGATCACTTTCTTATAGTTGGAATTTTCAACGTTAGAAATAAAGTCACTATTACGAGCCATGGATTCCTACGATTGCTAACAACATATCTGAATAACGCCTAAATATTGTTCCTAGCTGTGGCAATTAATTAAAATATTTTGAGTAGGACATGTATTTTTTTAGACGAAACTTTGATTAGTGTTAACATGTACGAAATGAATTTCCAAAGTTTACTGTTACATTACCTTTGCCTGTCGAACATTTGGAATAATAAATATAAAAATTATTTAAAATTTACTTCATTCTGAATAGTTAGACCTATTTATTTAGTTGAGTTTTATGCATTTTTTCACATCAGAGGAATTCTGCTTTGTGATGTGATTGTTTGAAGCAGCTGATAAGATATCTTGGACCTAGATTTTATGCTATTTGATATTCATCAGTAACAATGAATCCTCCACAAAGCATCAGTTTTTTCAAGACGACATCTACACCTTGGTGTTGAGCGACAAACAGTACTAAATCTAGGTTCAGGAATCACAGTTGAGTGCCTTCAATCACAACCTTACATCTCAACATAGTGAACGCGATGTCAATCACTAAGATTAGCAACCACATTGAAACTTGAACAGTAGAATTCGAACAGGATTCAGAATGTCTTGATATATATGACGTTAATCGCTACTCATTGATCAAGCGATTGTAAATTCTACTTTAAATGATCGATCAATTATCTTGCAGCCAGTGTTTAACACTAACAATTATGTGTGAATATTTTTGAGATAGATTGATAATGAAATCTAAGGCATATATTTCTTTCTATTTAGCAACCAGTAATTCAATGTGGTTAGATCTCAATCACGTTTTAAATAACTACACACAGTACAAAACATGAATTCAAAAAAGTTCTAAATAAAACCTAATATACATCTCAGAACAGATTGAAAGTGAACATGATTGATAAAAAGCCCATTAGTAATGCTGAATTAAATGCTTAATATTATTGGCTATTTTAACTCTAAAAAGCTTTATGAACGAACAAATACAGGCTAATCAAGGGCAATACACTGAACTGAAATAATTGTACAGTACCTCCGAATGTTCATCAGTTTCTTATTAAAACCAGTCCGTGATCCAAGCCATGTAATTTTGTCATGTAGAAAGGCCCTCATAAAGATGAGAGATAAATGACCCATTCATATGAAAAATTATTGATAGTAGATAACCACATCAAACTTATCGATCACTACTAGCAGTCCAAAACAGTATTATTCCCACATTTAAAAAAATGGAAATATTTATTTAGTAAAATTTATGTAAGCAAAACAAACATATATGACATCGATGCCTACAAACATTTATCAATTTGGCTTATCTTTTAAGTTTATGATGGCTGTGTAACTGCATACATATATTACTTTGTGATCAGTTTTTAGCTAAATTGTGTGAAAACTACGCAAAATACTCGAATGATCTGGTAGGCGATTAATTTGCAACTTGTTATTAAAAAGATGAACACTTTATAATACCATGTTTTAGTTTAAATGCATGGTTTATAGTTGTATTTACCGGCATCATTGAACAGAATTTCTCTTGAAAGTATTAAAAATAACCATTTTTTTTAGTTTGGGTAGGTGAAATTATAGTCGGATAGTTGAATAAGATTAATAAGTCATATTTTTTTTTACCTTGAAAAGAAAAATGGACCTAATTTCCCCATTACATAATTCACCTATAGTCTCAATTTTTAAATAAAGGCAAATATTTTTCCAAAATAAAATTTATCACCATCTTACTACTGCAAGTTAATGCATCAGTTTAAGAAGCACGCTATAAATATAGAGTAAAATTCATATACATCTCATGAGAAGAATTCAATAATGACGTCATTGATATTACTTTTTAATAATTTACCATTGTTTAAGCATTCAAAGTTGTTAAATTTGTACGTGTTGTAGTACTTTATTCAAAGGTTTCTAAATTGACTGAGTAAAAATTTATTATTTTATAATAACAACAGTAAAAAGAAACTTCAGTCACCACCCTTCGAAATTTGTCTGTAATGGTAAATGGTGGAACAAAAACAGTTATTATTTTTTGACAATTCATTTGTTTCCTTGTTGATAATTCTCATATTAACATCATTATAACTCCGATTTAGGAATCTTATAAGACAGAACACATTGAAGCAATCTATTATCTAGAATTGATCCCATGGATAGATTTAAAGCTTCGTTGATCACTTTGCGAACTTTGCTCTTATGCTTAGCTAATCGCCTGATGGGTAGATTTCGGAAGTAATACATCTGAATAATCCGTAGATAAACGAGAGCTTTAAATCCCTAATATTTAATTAATGATTTTGTATTCTGATAACTAATTTTTTTAAGAATGAGTAGATCAGCCACGTTAGCAAACAACTAGTTCGGCTAACATAATCGCTCTAGAGTTTATATGAGCTACTTGTCCCTCTAAAATACGTATCTTATTCAGTGATTAGTTTGTCAACCAACACTTTCATCATATATTACTAAGCCTGAATGAACGAGTAATGGTCTAAAAAGGAAAATCACTGCTTCAGGAATCCAAGTTAATCTGCTTTTCAGATTGGGGGTTGTGGAGATTGTTAAGTTTTTGATTGAAATCATGAACCGATTGATTTTAGACCACCACTGAAAACCTGGGAGCGCTGGACTGCCGTTTTGTCCTATTGTGGGACCCTCAGCAGTGCGCATCCACGATCCCGCTAACGGGATTCTGCTTTTAACTACACATTTTATGTAACGTAGTAGACACCGCTCTACTATTCCAAATCAAGTAAGATTAAAACCTAAACATTGTTTTTTCTTTACAGTGCACTCAATTGATACTTCTATCCTACTGATAAGTTAATGAAGTATATCACTTAATGATTACAATAATTTGCCATTAATAATTCCAATTAATTGATATAACTATATGAAGACAGATCTGTTTATAAATGAAAAGAGTTCATTGGTACTATATTAAAATAACTTTGAATATCTTCAAGTAAGAACAAATAACTAAATCAATAATTGATATCGGAAAACTGAGAAATAATTTTAAAGCTTTTTAGTCTTAGTTGATAGTTTTATAATAAACACTTTTATATAACAATAATTCAGTGCTATGAATTCCCATCTATATGACAATACATAACAGTTTTAAAACTCATATCAACAAATTAAGCGTGATGGACTTGTTCGTTATTTTTTAATCATACATTTTATCTTGGATCATGCTTCAATTTTTGGGGAAAAATGATTGTAAACCTCGAACATCAGACACACTATAAGTAATATTATATCCATTTAAGACGAAAATGTCTACGTAAAGCATAATTTAGTCCCCATTGAAACTTTTGTAACAGTTCTGTATATAATGTTGTGTGTGTAATCTTGTTAATACGAAATTCTCAAAATAAGTTTTAAATACATTGTAACACGGAAATAAAAATTGTTTTTATACTTATTTTGATTGCATAAATTTTAGGCTACACGTTTAAATCGTGTTGAACAAATAAATTTATTATTAATGTATGGAGCTGATGTAAATGCAAGGTGTAAACGTCCAAAAGAAATGATTAAAAACAACTTAACTCTTTCTATACGTCCACAGTCAGTTGATGGTGATACACCATTACATGTTGCAGCAAATCATAATCAGCGTGCAGCTGTTTTACGTCTGTTATCTTGGGGAGCTGATCCAACCCTACTCAATGCTGAAAATATGACACCTATACAAGTAGCACAGAATAATGGAAATTTAGAACTAGCTGATTTAATTAAATTATTTAGAGGTAGAAAAGAATCTGGTAAGTTTGTATAATGATGTTACAGTTTGAATTAATTGATTTGATGGTTACGCCTTATGTTTTTAGTGGCTTAACAATCTGTTCGATTAGATGCTAGCTTATAAAGTGAAAAGACAGGTTGTTGATATAGAATTTAGGTTTCATAAAACATAGATTTTATATGTATTTATCCAACACTTTTCAGTACATCACAACCAATTATTCTTTAGAAATTAAAAAGATCTTAAACTCTTTAATGTGTACGCATTACGTACCATCGTCTAGCTTGAGGAAACCACATACTGCATGTGTTTCGTTTAACTTCGTATTTATGAATGGTGTTATTAAATTCAGCTTTACTCTGTGAAAAATTTAGAAAATCAAAACTCAAGCGTGGGTTGTATCTGATTCTGGACACTAGTAAAACGGACGTCTGTTAAGTTTTACTTTAACTTTTTTATTTAGATACTCTCAATACTTGAATGATTGCTGTGGTTTCGTTGATATAGTATTTTTTGCGGCTTACCGAACAAATGCTATTAACAGGGAAATTCTAGTATCAAGCGCTCAGTATCGGAGACAATTTTGAAGGAGGCCATATTTGCAACTTTTCACAGTATTGAACAGATATTGCATTTTGGTTGATTATAGAAATTATACACAGGGCTGAATTTTCACATTAAGCATGGAAAGTCTTATCTGAAATCTGAATAAACAGTTGCACATCTCCATATTTTTAAGTACAAATTTGAAAATACTTCTACAAAAATCTACTATCATGTAATAATAATATTTTAAGTAAAAGTCATATTGAGTAGTTAACCTTGTTTTTAATTCGGAATACAATTGACAACTAAGTGTGAAGTATTTAAACTTAAATTTATAAATAAAACAACTCATTACGCCAACTATTTCCCAAAAAGGTAGAAAATAATCGCTTTATAAATGAAATTGTTAAATTCAAGATTTATAAATGCAACTCAGCACCGTGGCTTCATATAACTACTATTTTTGCAATTTTTGCTTGAACGTTTCATTTACTGATATAAATGGTTGCAGTTATCACACAAAGTTATCATATGAACCTATTGAATGGATACCTTGATGAAGATTTACTCTTTCTGGTGCTTCAAACAGTAAATAGTCCATATAGGCCTAGATGAGAACATTACCATTGTACTTCAAATACATTCATGTATTCCGTCCCATAGAAGATGATTAGTTACTTAAAAATATATCTGTTGATATGTTTACTCAAGCTTAATATTGATGAAACAAAATGTTTACTTTTTTATTATGTCTATCGTAGACTAGAAATAAATTAAACTTCATTTAAGCATGATTATGTGTATTTACTTTTATTTGTTTAGGTGATATATTTCTTCCAACACCCACATATAATCCCCATAGACGTGTAAGACAACCTCCACCTAATTCTTACATTACTGAACCATCCATTTTGCAAACTTATACTCCAAATGATATAAATGAAAGTTACCTAAGTTATCAGCAATTAAATAGTACTAACAACAATAATAATCATTTATTAAAAAACTCAAACAAAGATTCAGCTGATTTTAATATCACTGAAAAAAGTGCTACGTGTACAAGTTCATATATGACAACATCATCAACTAGACCAATCGATTCCAAACCAATACAACGTGCAGTTTCGTTATGTGAATTAGTTCAATCAAATCCATCTGATATAGCAACAGGATCAACAACAAAATGGAATGGTGCATGGGATTTAGGTCCAAATGGATTCTATAGTCCGTGTTATGATGTGAATGCTATATCAAATCAGACATATTGTGAAATGCCTAAATATGAGAATGGTACGAATATAGCTGGAACATTAACACGGCCAGTGAAATTAAAGCAAAAATCTAAAGGTAAATAAATATTATACACGGAGGTTACTGATATATATATGAGATGCTGATTCATTATGTTACCCAACAAAAATGTGATTTTTATTGGTTGTTATTTCGTTAAAATAAACACATACAGAAAGAGTAAGTGCAATCTAAATTACACTAGAAATGTATAACGATCAAAATGTTTCACAGATGAATTCACCATTGTGTCATTCAGTGTCGAACAGTCATCAATAATCGTGATCTGACTAAAAGCTGAATTGTTATTTTATTGATCAATTTCTTAACATTAAGTATTTATGGGTTGTTACCGTTGAATGAATAAGAACATGTTTGAAATGAAAGTGAAGGATATTTTATTTATTTCTATAACTTTTTAAGCCTTACTACAGGCAATGGATCTTCAAAATGAGAAGAGAATAAATAAGAATAAACACAATTCACTTATTGCAAAACGGGACGTTGTTCTTAACCCAACATGGGAATAATAAGTGTAACACTAAGAAATAATCATTATAGCATACAATGACTAATAGTTGACTCGACTCCTTATAGTTCTATGTTTTAATAATAGTGTTGAGAGACAGTCAGTTTAACATAACAATAAATTATTATCACAACATTTGATTAATCACACCTCTGATTTCTTAAAAAATACACATTCACAAGCATTAGATATTCAAGTTTTGGTTGACATAGCTGAATAATCGTTGAGAAATATTCAGCCTTCTAGTAAAGTAAAACAGTCCTTGCTTTTATAACACATTGATAACTCATGTACATGTAAAATCACAAGCTACATTTAACTAATTATCATGAGTGAAACGTTTTGGTATGAAGCTGGTGAAAAGAAATGAAACCTACTCTGCCTAACGTTTTCTTAATAAATAGACAGTAATCGACTTCACTCTTGAGTACCATAAACTTCGATGAAAAGATGTTTTAACAGTCAAACAATTACTGAATGAATTCAGTTTCCCTTGAAATTGTAACAATCTGTTTTCTGTTTAATGATAACATAGGAATTTTGAATGACCTCAAAATAATTAGATCTATGTTTTAACTGACCGGACAGAAGAAATATGAACTTTCAACTATAGGACGATTTATTTTAGCTATGTGACCTATTTTATAGGAATTAAAAACACTGAAATATTTATTTCGTGTATATTCTACTGTGTATGGAGGGATATCACATTTAAACACAAGAAATATTTGCTTTTCAGTCCTTTATTTGTCAGAGAACATATTGATTGAATATAGTTCACAGCCATTTAAATTGTCACCCATTATGCGTTTGATAAGCATTTGGTCTGAATTTTCAAATCATAAAATTTAGGTTGATTTCTATGGCAACATATCAAATGCATTACATGGACGTTTTTGATATTAAAAGACCGAAAAAGTTTTGAAGAAATCTAGTCATGCCTATTTATTGATGTTTGACAATGAATCACAACCGTAAAATAATGCATCATTGTTTTCATGTTCCATTTAACATCACACATAAATCGACGAATTCGAAAATAGCTCAGGTGAATTATTCGGCTACTTTTGCGTCATCGTAAAATGCCTTAAAACTATTGCTAATTTAAGAAAGTTGTTCAAATAACTAAACAACTTTTCGTTTTTGTTATATCAGAAAACAGTTCACATTTGATTGCTCAGCACCAAAAAACAGAGGGTGATATCATATTTTAAGTGATACGAAATATTTATTCATTAAGATATAAACCGCTTTACAAGTACCGAATTCAACTGAAATATACGTCTTTTACAACTGCTGAATTACATTACTATAATTGTAGATTCATGAATTCATGCGAGTTAGAGATTTGATGAAAATTATACAGTAATGAAAAGCGCCTCCATTTTACCTAAGAATTTTTTACAGAACACAACTTATTCTAGTATTAAGTTTGATTCAGCCTAAGTCAGTTTACAATATGTCATGAGTATTATTTATCGTCCTACTTATTTGAAACAACTGTTTACTTCTTTCGAGTTCTCTCTGCTTTACAAATATTACTGCTAGCCAATAAAACTTATTTTCACAGTGATTGTAAAAAAATCATACGGCTCAGTGATCAAGAGGTTAAGCGTTTGCGCGCTCGACTGAAGGTTCTGGATGCTCACTGTTGAAGAGTTCTATACTAGGATGAAACGGTCATTCAGTGCTCCCAGGTTTTCTATGATGGTCTAGCTTCAATCGAATCACGAATTCAACTATTATGTTACTACATTCTTCACAAAAACCCCTTTCTGGTAATTATTTTATATGTTAATAAGGTTTGAATAGTCCAAAATATACGTAACAGTACATTGTGAAAACATTTAGACTGATTTGGGTCTGTCAGCACCTTGAACTTTACTATGTCTAATTAGTAATATTTGTTTTACAAAAAATTGTGCAATAAACTTTGTAGATTTCACTTCTAGAAAACACTAACAAAATTCTTTTTAAAGTTTTTATAAAATCTTACAATAAGTGTAAATAACGGTGTTCCCTCGACGTTGCTAATTAGTTATCAGAAAGAAGTCTCACACTAACGCACACACACATGCATAATCGAAATCAGACACAAACACAGTTTACGAAACAAAACAGCTATTTGACCTCTTTATTGTAACGTTGCTCAATTCCTTTTGTTTACATTTTCTAAAATTACCTGATTAATCTTGTTTATTACACAGTTCGTGAAATAACTATCTTCATGGTAATCTCAGGTGACCACAATTACATTATTCGTTTTTAGGAAATGTCTTTCACCTTTTTAATGTTTATCTTATAGTCTTTAGATTTACCGTTTGAACTCATTTGAATAAAGGACTCAGGATAATTATTACAATATGTTTTATTTATTTGGAAAATATGTTTAAGGACAAAGTATAGCTATACAATAAACCATATTTCACATTCGACAGCAACAACTGATAACACTCAATATGTTGATCCGAGCACATTTTACTATTTTGACAAGGTAAATGCAAAGACATAATACATAGAAAAAAAAGAGTAAATTCCAAATGATAATAGTGATGACGTTTGTTAAAACATCATAACATATGAACAACGTTGTGATGTATGCAACTACTGGTTATGTTCTTAACCCAACATGGAAATAATAAATGTAATACTAAGAAATAATCATTGTAGCATACAATGACTAATAGTTGACTCGACTCCTTATAGTTCTATGTTTTTATAATAGTGTTGAAAGACAGTCAGTTTAACATAACAATAAATTATTATCACGACATTTCAATGGTCACAGCTCTGACATACACAGCTAGTTACATAAAGATACGACAAAACCTTAATGAATGTTAATATTTACGAAATATAAGTCAATTTGATTCTTTCTTTTAATTCATTTTTAACATAGCAATATCAATTCGAATCAATAATCAAATTGTCACTCTGTCTAGTCCATATTTGTCTTTGTGCACTTTGCTTGTTCACTCTTAATTACATAATACAAATAAATGTCAACCATAATACTGGGCATTACTTCTCATACTTGGTTAACTTGTCACAGAATTGTTTAATATATTAGTCTTTGTTTTTCTGATAAATTATTCTTGTGTATTTAGAGTTTAATTCCAATGAAGTATAAAATAAATATTTGTTTAAACACTGATCACCAATAATTTGTTATGCGTGATAAAATAAATCTCTTTATTGTCAACCTGTTAACAGGATAAGTTACCCAAAATGAAATTAATTTAGTATTGGAACTTTGAAAATAGTTTCCGTCAAAGTTTTGTTATAAAGCTGATTTATTATTTGTGTTATAATTTATTCTGCTGAATATTTCTTTGTCAGCTAATTAATTTAATCAGTGTCATCTGATAAGCTAAGCTTTCATAAATATCGTTTCTACCAATCGTTTTGTCATTTTTATTCATCATATAATATGATCGCGTTTGTCGTTTTGATTCATTCAGAGAATATATCCAGGTTGTTTCTCTGTTTAGATGAACTTAAGTTTATACTCATACAATTGTCCATGTCATGTCATCATTTATTGCCCCATAGCTATGAAAACAAATATATATGTCATTCGACTGAAAACTCATCGTCTGGATGTGAATGTTTGTTTTCCGATTAAAACTTAACTGCACAGTCATCAGTCTAAACACTAAAACATTATCTTACTAGCCATTATGTCATGAAAGTCCTTTTCGTTATATTTTATTAATCACGATGGAACTGTCTTTATGTAAATTGACATTTTCAAGGAGCATAACATCTTGACTGCATTATAAACCATGGATTTATACTAATCAAATGGTTGTTTTCAACCTGTATAAAATAATAATATTTCTCTTTTACGCTAAACTATTCATCTGTGTAGGCATGATATGATGCTAAAACCACACGCCTTATATATTTCAAAATGTAAGCTAAAACGGCTGTGTAATACCATAATTAATCCTAAACAATCTTTAACTGGAAGGTAGATAAACAAATCTGCTCTAGGTATAATATCTAGAAAGCTAAGAATACTCAAATTAAATTTAAAATGCATGTTATAAAATTACATGTTAAATCATTCAAAACAAACTTTTTATTTTAAACAAAATTTCAAAAAAAAAACTCTTGAAAACAACGATGCTCAGAGGATAAAAAATATGGTTTCAATTCAGTACATTATTCATGACGTATAAAATGAGATGGGTGAATTCACCTTTCCAACTTGTTAACACTAACTTATAAATAGATTAATGAATTTAATTAACTAATAGAAAAGATTATTAGTAAAGTATAATATTATTTGAAATAAGGTTTAATTATTGTTATTATTATTATGATAATTATTTAATAAGAATTTTATAGCAAATGAATGAGATGAGCTTACGAGTCACTGTAAATCAATAAATGTTGAAAAAAATGGCACTACATATTCAAAGCCGTCAAATGACCACAAGCATTGGCTAACATTATAGTAAGATCTAGAATATTTAGGTTTTTGATGAACTTACTACCTTTAGATACTAGTCTTTTAAATTTT